AAAGTTACCAAAACAATTTCAGAAGACTGAAAAGGGGCAAATATAGTGCCCATCTGTAAAAGACAAGTAACAACAACCCAGGAAACTACAGACCAGTCAGCTTAACTTCTGTGCCAGGGAAGATAATGGAGCAAGTAATTAAGGAATTAATCTACAAACGTCTGGAAGATAAGGAGATAGGTAACAGCCAGAATAGATTTTTAAAACCAAATCATGTCAAGCTAATCTGATAGCTTTCTTTGATAGGATATCAAGCCTTGTAGATAAGGGAGAAGCAGGGGACATGGTATCAATAGGCTTATCAAGGCTGTTCCCCATTCTGGCACAACACAATGAATGCAGAAATGGGGTCCTGCAAGAGTACTCCAAAACCTTGCCTCTACAGGCTTTGGTACAAAAACTTCCCCCCAAAATCCTAATATCCAGATTTTGGGGGATCTGCTGCCACCAAGTGCTTTTGAATCCACAAACAGGGGTAGACACTTGAAACTAACCCCAGGGGTACTCCAAGTTCTTTTCCCCAAAGAGGCCTGAAAAGAGAAAAACAAGCTGCCGTCTATGGTAGCTGACCTCTTAGTCAGGCATGCATTTACACACAGACAAACCTTGCAGGACACAAAGATCAACCAATACCAGTTAATTTAAAAAAACCACAAACTTTTATCAAAACAAAACTACAGTTGCAAGCATACTAAAGTGGCTGGATGGGAAAAGCCACCAATTGATATATACAGGGCAAGTCCCTGGGCCAAAAGCTTAGTTACAAAGAAAAAAACCACACACACACACACACACTTAAGCTCAGACATTTCCAGACTCCCAAACAAGGAAAACAACAAAACCTGATGGATTATCTAAACTTTTCCCTACTTACACATTTTAAGAAGTCTGTTTTCTCCAATCTCCCTCAGTCTTGGAAAAAGACTGGTCTGCCTCAAGCCCAGAAGAGAGAAAAACCTCTCTTCCAGTTTGAAATTCCTACCTGCATTGTCATTGGCTGACCATCGAATACCTGGCGAGGTACAGGAGGTATTAGTTAACCCCTTAGGGTATGTCTACACTACCACCCTAGTTCAAACTAGGGTGGTAATGTAGGCAACCGGAGTTGCAAATGAAGCCCGGGATTTGAATTTCCCGGGTTTCATTTGCATAAAGCCGGGCACTGCCATTTTTAAATGTCCGCTAGTGCAGACTCCGTGCCGCGCGGCTACACGTGGCACGGACTAGGTAGTTCGGACTAGGCTTTCTCGTACCATTACTCCTTGTACCGTTACTCCTTGTTCGAACTACGGTGGTAGTGTAGACATACCCTTAGTGCAAAGTTAATGCAAAACAGCTGTTATTTCAAATTAACTTTAATAGCCTCTATATGCAAACCTCTATTTCGAAATTAATTCAAAATAGCGGCATGCTTAATTCAAACTTGGTAAACCTCATTCTACGAGGATAATGCCAAATTCAAAATAGCTATTTCAAATTAAGTGTCTACACAGCACTTAATTAGAAATAGGGGGCCCCCAGACCTTCCCAGAGAGCCCTGGTGGCCACTCTGGGCACAACCAGGGAAACTTCCTCTCCTCTCCCACAGCCCCGGAGCCATTAAAGGGGTAGACTCTGGCCACAGTGCCTGTGCCAGCTCAAAGCCTGCCAGCCTAGAGCCAGCAGTGGCCACCAGAGCCCCTGACCCAGTGGCCCCAAAACATGAGCCAGCAAGCCACTGGCAGCCAGCCCTCCACTGCTCCCCAAGAGCAGTCTGCCAGCTCCCAGGAGCCTGACAGGGGCTGGAGAAGGCAAGTACTTTCCTGGTCCAGAGTGGAGATCATGGACCTTATTCAGGTTTGGGGTAGGGGATGCTTGCCAACATCCATGATCTCTGCACTAGATGGAGGAACACAGTTGTGTCTGGCAGGATAGCTGCCAGCCTGGCCACATGTGAAGCCAGGAGCAGGTTTGCATGAAAATCAGGTAGATCTGGTGAACCCTCCCCCAACCCTGAGCTTCCCTTCCTCCCCCTTCCAGCTTCCTCCTCCCCTCTCCCACCTCCTTTTCCCAGTCTCCCCAGAGGTTCATTTCCCTCCCCCCAGTTTTGTTCAATAAACCCAGTTTCTATTTTTGAACATACATATCTTTTATTTGACATCAGGAACAGGGGACTAGGGATAGGTAAGTGGAAGGATGTAAGGGAGGAATGGGACATGAGCCCCCAGTGGGAAGGACCGAAGAGGCTCTGAAAGCTCCTCACAGTGGACGCTCTCCCACAGGGTCTCCTGGATCCTGACAGCCCCCCGCTGGACCCCCTCGCATGTCAGCCTGCAGCAAATGCAGCCAGGCTGATGACAATGACCCCACGAGACACACCGGCATGCCCAGGGGCAGCTCTGGCTCCAAGTGGTGTCCCAGGTGTGGGCACTCAGGGCACTTCAAGACAGGGATGCTTTGCTATCTCCCTCATCAAGCTAGATAAGAAAGCGAGGAACCCTGAGAACTGTCTGTCTAGGGTGGGGGTAGGGTCCCTTTAAGCATGGTGCTCAGTTAGCCTGAGGCAGCAGCCCCATACACTAAGTCCTAACCTGATGCCCTGCTGGCACTGGCTCCCACCAGCCTTAACTTCGGTTCAGGATCCACTCAGTGTGGACATGCTATTTCGAAATAGTTTATGTGTAGATGTGTTCATTCAAAATAGTTAATTCGAATTAACTAAGATAACTCAAATTAACCGCTCTAGTGTAAACATACCCTAAGATAACTCGAATTAACCGCTCTAGTGTAAACATACCCTTAGTTACCAGGTGCTGGTCAGCATGCTTGATCATGACAGGGCTACTATAAGGTGGGCGCATAATTGGCTGGATACCTGGAGTCTGCTATAAGGGTGTTACATGGAGGAGGGTGAAAAAAATGGTTCCCCTTTGCTTCTTGTTCTATCTTCAGAGGCTATGCAACAAGGGAGGTTTAAATTTGACATCAGGGAAAACTTCATAATTGACATAGTGGTTAAACAAACACTGGAATAAATTGCCTAAAGAGGTTGTGGAATCTCCATCACTAGACATTTAAGAGCAGGTTAGTTAGGCATCTGTCAGGGATGATCTAGATGGTGCTTGGTCCTGTTGTGAGGTCAGAGGACTGGACCTGATGACCTCTTGAAGTCCTTCCCAGTTCTAGTATTTACTTACTATGAATTCACAAGACTAGATTAAATAAATTTGTTTTATTCTTTAGTGAAAACTATGAAGATTTAAAAAATGGAGTCCAAGTAATGGGGCATTCAAGTAAGAAATGGCTACAGGGAAAAAATAGAACACTTTCTAAACTTTAAGTAGTCTTTTTTCAAAGTGAAGCCCTTACCCATGCTTTCAGTTCACTGCTACCCAAACTTTCAGGCTAAAGTCCAAGGGCGGAGTTGGGGGGTGGGTTGTTTTGTTTTAAGGTGAAAAGAGATGGAAAGGAGGAGATAAAGGACATGGGGGGGGGGAGATCCAAGTTATTTTTATATACAGTACTGCCCATCTTTTAACAGCATTTTCTTGTGTGATCCCTAGTTAAAGTTCTTTCCAGCTGAGAGCAAGGAGACAGAGTCCAGTGGAGGAAGGAAGCTTCATGCTGTTTCTTTTCACCTGTGTATAATGAAATGCAGATTTTCTTTGTCTTTTCTTTTGCCTCTGGCTGGCTGAAGACATTTTAAAGCTTATCTGTAAATTTAGGTTTAAGACAAATCTGCTTGACAGGATACTTTATAACATTGCTACATACATTGTCATGATATTGTCCAGCAAACTATTAGTTTTCCAATGAAATCTTACAAAGCATGTTTTGTTCAAAGCTTCTTATAAAGTGTGTAGGATGTGAATACAGTGTGCATTCTGTCACAACATGGCAAACATACAAGTGCTTAGCTTTACCTGCAATCATAGCCTTATGGTTCTCTTTTAACGGACTTAAACAGTTCACAGGTGGAATTTTCAATTACAGGACAGCATTCTTTGTGCTGTTGGATAAAGATGATCTGAGCAAGATAATGTATATAATTTTCATCACCACTAGAGTAAATTCCAATGGAGAGCTACATTCTTGTGTTATGTGGAATCTAATCAATTAAAGCTGTCAAACCAGCTACATGATTTGATAGCTGCACTTGGACGGAGGTATTATAAAAAAGTTTTATGCACAATCTTAAGTAACTTGCAGATTTATACCACTGTAATGTAAGGGTTTGTAATATGTTAGTGTCTAGTTATTATTAGGTTTCCCTATGGTGTTTATTCCTATTCATAGTACATGTAATTTAATTCTACTTTTGAAAAAATACATTTTGTATCACAAGTATTTGATTAGGTACTCAAGTTTAATGTAGTCCTTCAAGTATAGGCAGTACAACAAATTTTAAAGACACTCTGCTTTAGAGATATTGGAGTATGTAGGATAAATTAAACTGAAAATGAGGACTATACTAGCTAAAGCTGGATCCAAAGTCAAAAGAGACAATGCAACTTTGCAACTCTAGACCTTTATTATTTTGAGTCACGTACAATATAGATTTATAATGCCATCAATGGCTGATATGAAGTGTTAATATTAGGTGCATTTCTGCCCATTTTGAAGAGTTAAGCAATAGAGATAGCGTCTATTTATACTACCTATTTCTTCAATAAATTCCTTCTATTTATCCTTCTCACTCCACCCACATAAGAACAATGAACTTACTTCCTCCTTCAGTCTTTTAAAATAATAAAATGCACTAGTGTAATTTTAGGAGTCTCCTTCCTCCCCCCCCCCGCCCCCCAAACAGTCACTTTTGGTAGATCTCTGCATGGATACAAATTTGTATCCACTCAGGGCTCTACAAATTGTAACAGCTTAGCAATTTAATAACTCCTTGAAGGTGTGGAGTTTTTTGGTTGTTTTATGGGAAGGCCCATGCAGCTTTGTTAGTGATATAAATCTGCAAACTGCTTAAGGAACTAACATCTTATGTCTATTACAGACAAAGATGGGTAATCTAAGAACAGAAGTACCATTTTCAAGTGTGACCCTAAGGTTGACAGATTGATTTTATAGATATAGAACTGTTATTTCTGTAGTATCTGAACTCAATTTAAGTTTGATCTATATTATTTTCATTCATCCCCTTTGGACAATTGCAACAATGATATTTCACTTCAGCCTACTTGGATCTAATTTTGTCTAGCACTGCAACTCTGCTTAGAAAGCTGTTTGGCTGTGGTAGTTCAGAAATATGAATCAAGTTTTGCTGAATGAAATGAAATTAACCATCCAGGAAGAGATAATCTACTTTTCTAGAGGTAGTGATTCCACATTTTGTACACTAATACTGAAATACACTAATAAATAATAATAAAGTAGTTCTGAGACACTTTATTCTCTACTGATAGCAAACAGAGGGAACCAACAGATCTGCCATATTCTCTAAACACAATGAAAAACGTCTAGGGATGTTGTTCAGTCCACGAAGTAGTTGGCAAACTTTTTTTGTCTTGAACAAATAATCTAGTAGAGCCACAAAACTTCCCTGTATTTGGAAATAAATGGAAGTAAATGGTTAAGCATTTGGTCCTCAATACGTTTTTAATTCTGAATACCCTCTAGGCATAACTAGACACCTATGGCTGGCCCATGCTAGTTGTATTGGGCTTTCAGGGCTGGCCTACCAATGGGGTGATGGGGGTTGTTGTGCCTATGGTGTCAACTACCCTGAGGCTAGGTGATTCAAAAGGGCCCGGTCTCCAGCCACCACTGGAGTGGTGGAGGTAGCAGTCAGAGCCCCAAGCCCTTAAGATTACTGCCAGAACCCGGCTGACACTCCAGACAGCACTAGAGGCTAACCTTCAGCCCCACCCCTTCCACCCAAGGTCCCACCCCTTTATGGGATTCCAGAGCACTCCCTACCTTGCCTGGGGGCTGGCAACAGGGCTGTTTAATTGTAGGGTAGACTTGCAGATTTGGGTGAGAACCCAGACTTTTGGACTTTGAGGTGGGAGGGGTTTTGTATGCAATATAGATGTTCTCTCA